GAAAAACCTGTTTCCTCTGAAACAATTGCCCCAGGGTCTGAGAAGACGAGTGGAAAATTGTCTGTGCACCATATTTTTTTGTGACCTGATATTTATAAGGGTATGAATGAGAAAGAATGCGGGGAGTCTTACTGGCTTTAAGGATGACGCAAGGCAAACCGTTGGATAAATACTTCACTATCTGCAATAGTTGTAGGAAGTGAAAGGAAAGACAATATATATAGCTAGCTGGCCGACGTAGGTGTTTATTGCTGGGAGGAGCTTAGTCGTGGGCTCATCCCGACCTGGTCTATAACAGTTTTACGTTGCGGGGAATAAGCAGTGGACTATTTGGCCTATATATCAAAACCAGCGGCACGTTTCTGATAGATGTAGTTGTTGCGTAGCAGCATGGATGAGCGTGAAGTGGCGCGGCGCTGTGTAGACTGCCATGTGTAGGTGAATTTTTGCGGGTGGTGGTAGCAGGGACCCGTTTCACTAGATCTATGGTGAGATTCGGTAGATGCAGATTTGGTGGAGACGAGAATACAATTGCCTTTTCTCTGTAGCACTGCACGTGTTGTTCTCTATTCCACTAGCATAATGCACAACTATCCTGCCATAGCCGATTCTCTCTTTCATTGGTAACTGGAATATTTTGATCCATTTAGCCTTTCTCTGAACGTTGTATGAGTTTACCGCACTACCGTTAACTTTAATGCGTTGTTTTCTTAAACTGGCATGTCTATATGCCAGCCGGAAGCAGTAACCGCAAGTAAGCTGAACTCCATCTTCTTCAATCATATATGCAGAGACCGCCTGCCATACAAAGCTTAATATTGTTAAGGTGGACGGTTGTAGGTGCACATAACTAACATAGGTGGAGTGCCTAAACTGTTCTCCCAGACCTGAAAGCCCGTACACAACACTAGGCACCCTCGTATGTTTGTAACATCCTGGTGCCCATCGAAGAAAAAATTTATGTCCGTCTCGTCGCTTTTCAGGATGTCATGCAGTGGGCGTTTTGGTAACTTAAAGCATGATTTGCTGTTAGCTCAATTCGTCGCAGCCCAACGCTATGCTTCCTTTCAGCGCGCCCAGAAGTAAAGCTCGGCTCAAACATCCTTTCGCATTGCGGTGTTGTCAACGGCAGGCATCATGAGTACGCAATACCGCCTCCCTCCTTGACATTTTAGATTTGTTAGGAGCCCCAAGTTTGGGGTACAACGCGCTTGGACTCAGTGGTTGAACGCTGTAACGCCGATTCTCTGCAATATCCATCAGCCGCGGCGAAAGACACGCCCACAATACGTTTCCTGATATACCGTGGGACAATTTGTACACGATCCATGCCCGCACGCAGTATCTATATGCGAAAACTAGGGCGTCCGCTTTAAAACGATCTTCAACAAGCTTGGTTGTCCCTTGGAACGCCAGCGGCGCAGATAAAACCTCTGTGGGCCATAGACCCCAGACACCACGGGAGTCTTTCGGCTCCAAGGCGCCAGTGGCTTCGTTCTGTGCGCTGATTGAAGGTTAGTGCTGGGCTCGCCATTCGAGCGTCGTTAAAAGTTTTCCGCTCCCGTCCGTGCTCAACAGACCCCCAAATTTGAAAGGTATCGATTAGAATTTCATCAAAACGTTTTCCTTACCGGTAAAGCGAGTAGAGCCCTTAGCTAGAGCAGCTGAGCACATAAATAAATAAAATAAATAAATAAATAAATAAAATTTTATTCTCGACAACGCGAGGCACACCTTTACAGGCATGATCATGTTTAGCTAACATAGTGTGATCAAAAATGTACAAAAAGCACATGTTTTGCATAACAGTGTATGTAACTGTACGGGTGTATATACGTATGTAATTGTCTATCAATGTAAGTTGTTTTTGAATGTGCCGCAGTATTTTTGACTGGTTGTTATCGTCAGGGATGTGGGAATAAGCGATTGATGTCGTGGGTTGGATAGCAATTTCCGGATATCCACGGGCCAGTGACTTTAGTGTGTGGCGAGTCACATCCGCCACGTCGCAGTGTTGATAAGCAGACATTTGTGGCTTTTTATAGGGAGAACGCTTGCCAGGCGAAAACCCACCACGTCCTGGAACACTGCCGCCGAACTATTTGCTGGAACGGGTTAAACCCGAACCACCCAGCTGGCACCACGAGGAGGTTGTTCGGCTAGCCAACCATTGAGACGCACACGTTCATCGCGGACATTTAAATTAAGAACCATATCCGTACCAATTGGCACACCCGGACTCATCCCTTCCCGCGGCCATCGCCGCATTAGTTTCCGGAGAAGCTCAATCCGCCTACGGTAGGAGTTTGAGCAAAGATGCGCTCTTTAGGAGTATTCCGTTCTCGCAGATAGCCCATGTTCCGCTCTTAATCCATGTGGTCAAATAGCAATTTGGAGGCTTGGCGTCCCTGCGGTGACTTGCGCAATGAATAAACTTGCGATCACCAAACAGGCTACAACTGTACAATAAATGCGGGACGTTGCTTCAGGCTTTACATGTATGGCGGGCTTGGGGTGGGGGGGGGGGCTGGCTGGCGGGGGGGGGGTGGCGGGCCGGGAGGGGGGGGGCGGGCTGGGGGAGGGCTTTGGGGTCGGGGGGGGGCTGGAGGGGGGCTGGGGCTCTGGCGGGGGCTGGCCCGGGGGGGGACTTGGGGGGGGTGGGGGGGGGGGGGCTCCGGTCCGGGGGGGGGGGGCTGAGGGGGGGGGGGCTTGGCGGCGGCTTGGGGGGGCGGGGGGGGGGGGGGCTTTCGGGGGGGCGGGGGGGGGCTTGGGGGGGGGGGGGGGGGGGGGGGGCGGGGGGGGGGGGGCTCGGGCGGGGGGCGGGGGCTGGGCTGGGCTGGGCTTGGGGGGGGGGGGGAGGGGGGGGGTTAGGGGGGGGGGGTGGGTGGGGGGCGGTGGCTGGGGGGGCGGGGGGCGGGGGGGGGCTTGGGGGGGGAGCTTGGGGGGCCTGCGGGGCTGGGGTCTGGGCTTCCTGCGGGGCTGGGCCCTTGGCGGGGGGGGGGCCGGGACTTGGCGGCGGAGGGCGGCTGGGGGGGGGAGGGGGGTGGGCGGCTGCGGGCATGGGGCGGCGCGGGGGGGCGGCCCGGGGGGGACCCCCCCCCCCCCCCCCCCCCCCCACCCACCCCCCCCGGGGGGGGGGCTTT